TGCTGCTTTCGATCGCTGCTTTTAGTTTTCTGCACGGTTTCAAAATTATTAGACATTTCAGCTGTAATGTTATTCGGTTGGTTTAAGTTATTCAAACAAGCTTGATAGTCCTTTTGTTGAAGAGCCAAGGCCGTAGCGAGATTGACCTTCTCGTGCTCTAAATATTCAACTTTCGCTCTCAGATCTTTTATTATGTTGTTTGCTTCTTCCAGGTTGTTTCTCAGATTAGCCTTTTCGCTTTCACATGTGTTAAATTTACATGGCCGTGAATTTTCTTTTCCTTCATAAGAATCAGTTCGGTTTTTAAGTTGCTGTATATCACCTTCGATACGCTTGAGTTGTGACACGACTTCATGACAACAACATACAGAATTAGTAAATTTCAGATCATTTTCAGCTAGGGGCACTTCGGTCGGGAAGTTGACCGCTACAGTTTGGTTTTCTGCCTTGTTTTTATCTTTGTCTTTGTCATCATTCAACAATAATGTCGACTTCTGAACGCCTTCGAGCGTGTTTTTGTTTCCAATGGTTTCACTGTGTTGTCCTACATAATGACCTTTGAAATTACCCAACGTGGCAGATTTCACAAGTTTCTCTTGAAGGCTTTCATTCTCATCATCTTGAATTACAACGAGCTTCTGCTTTGTTTTACCGTGCCACTTCAGCGTATAGCTTTTACTCGTGAATTTCTTTACTTCTCCGCCAGTAGATTTCCATTGACCGTCAATGCCCAAGTCGGATTTTACAAACAGTTTCAGACTTTCATATGGACCTTTCCAAACCAATTCCTCATCTATTTTTAGAAGATTTGATTGTTTAAAAGGTGTAGAAGTTATCAGCGTACTTTGTTCTTGTATATCTTCAAAGAAGCTAAAATGATCATCGACAATAACGGAGCCTTCTAATGTTTGACTGGACGCCATCTTGTTCATTATGTTTCTGACCAATGAGAGTTCTCAGCCCTCAACATTGAACATTGAGGCTAAGCAAAAGAAAAGATTGTATGCAAAGCAATATAGGAAACAAAAACAGGCCAATGAGAGTTCCCAGCCCTCAACAGTGAGCATTGAGGCTAAGCAAAGGAAAAGACTGTACACAAAGGAATATATGAAATGTAAACGGGCCAGTGAGAGTTCCCAACCCTCAACACTGAGCATTGAGGCCAAGCAAAAGAAAAGACTGAACGCAAAGGAATATAGGAAACAAAAACGCTCTGAGTTTGAACCGCTACAAAGTTTAATATCCCAATTTCATGATATTGTCTCACAAGGTCCTCTTTATATTTGCACTTGTTGTGACCAATTATGGTACAAACATAGTGTCATTCCAGTCACAACACTTATAGAAAATAATCCTGATGTTCGAAAAAGATTGTTAAATACAAAAAGTGTTAATAATATGGAGTGGTTGTGTAAAACTTGTAATAAGTATTTAAAAAACAATAAGGTGCCTCCTTGTGCTGCCATAAATGGGCTGCAGTTTCCAGAAAAACCTTCGTTTTTCGATCTAAATGAATTAGAGTGTAGATTGCTTGCTCCAAGACTTGCATTTCAAAAATTAATGCAGGCTCCTAGAGGTAGACAACTAAAAATAAATGGAAACATTGTTAATGTTCCAGCAGATGTTGTTAATACTGTTAACATGTTGCCAAGGTTTCCAAATGAGACCAGCACAATTAAAGTTAACCTTAAGAGAAGATTGCAATACAAAAGTTCAGCTTTATCACTAAATGTCAGACCAAATAAAGTGGCAGAAGCTGCCAAATGGCTTGTGAATAATGGTAACCTTTATAAAGATGAAGGTATAACTTTCAATGACACTTGGCTTGAAGATAATTCAAATACTCGAATGCTATTTGATGATAGTGACAATGATCAAACCTCAGAGGGTTCAGAAAATGTTGTGAACTGTAATGCAGAAATCTTGAATTGTGATACAGAATGTAAAATCCAGCAATCATCAGCTTGTGATGATGATGAACATTGGAGTGAAGATTTGGCAGAAATACCTGCTGGAATCACTGACACTATGTTAACATCTCCAGATTTTGTCACTGATAATGAACGTCAGCATATTTTAAATGTTGCACCTGGTGAGGGAAATAGGCCTATGAGTATATTTAGAGATAAATACTCAGAGGAATTAGCATATCCTGGTATATTTCTTGGACAGAAGCGACCAGACAATACAAATAGACTAACCAAAGTCCATTATAGTGAAATTTGTAAATCTGAATTAAGACGGTCTGACCGAAGGGCAGCAATGTGTGTGGAAAATATTTTCTTTAAAACCAAACTGCACAAGTTGTTAGAAAACAGTTTCCATTTAGACCCGCTGCTGCTAAGACAATTCACCGTTCACAAGGTGACACTGAACAAAAAATTGTTGTAAATTTCAACACTAGAAGATCAATACCACATATACATTATGTTGGTTTGAGCAGGGTAACAGCAATTGAAGGTTTATTTATCACTGACCTATGTGAAGATAAAATAGCTGTCAATCCTCATGTAGCAGCTGAAATGGAACATTTGAGAAATGAACGTGTACTAAAACTAAGTGTCACTCCCATTTATAAGACAGACCAAGTCTCATTCAAACTGTGCTATCTAAATGCACGGTCGTTGCATAAACACATTGATGATATTCGGCATGATTTTAATTTTGCTAATACAGACATCAATATTTTTTCTGAAACTCGATGTATTGGCTCAGATAATGCCAGTATGTATGATATTGATGGTTACACCTTGTTCAGAAATGATGGTCACTCTTTGACTACCAGACCCTTTGGTGGCATGGCAGTGTTTAGCAGAGTTGAATTCTTACCTGGATATCCATGTTGTTATAATATCAATGGCATTGAAATAACCATTATGAAAGCAATGATTCTTCCACATGTTACTATAATTGGTATATATCGATCACCCAGAATTCCAGTACAACAATTGTGTGCAGCATTAGATGAAGTTTTGAGGTTCTGTACTTCTCAATTTAACATTTTCATTGGTGATTTTAATATCAATTGGTTGGATGAAGCCAATAGAAGGCCTTTAGATAGATTTTTTTATCAATGATCGTAACTATGTGCAATTGGTGTCTAATGTCACTACAGACAACCGGACATTAATATATCATATTTATACAAATCTACCAGAGTCACAAGTTAGTTCACACATTTTAGAAACTTAATTCTCAGATCATAAAGCAGTTTGTGCCTTAATTAATTGTTTTCATTAATTAAAGCAAACTTAGCAAAGTCATAGTAGAAATACTTCTATATTGGAACTAGAGTCACTGCATGGACACAATTCACTTAAATACTTACACATTTGGTTTTACAATTTAACTAATTTTCAAATGCTAACAACAGAATCACCAGGTAAGCAATTTTTTTTATGCACCCCCCCATCCCTCCTCATTACATTGTCATTTTGCTTTCTAACATACATGTTTTTGTTTAGAGATTAATACAACAATCACAAATGGGTGTACCAGATATATTCGCTGGATAATTTCATCAGAACAACCCACTTGCAAGACAATCTTACATAAATTCATTGGTATGGCTATACTAAAACAACTTAACAGCTACAATAATCATATGGACGGATCTGATCAATGGCATACAATCTACAAAACCAAACTTGTACTCAAATGGATAGGTTCCACTCAAGTGGATTTTCTCCCACAATACAAATTGTTTTTGTGTGGATATGCTGTGTTAAAATTATACCGAACAGTGTGGTATTCTATTAACTCTACACAGGATTGGAATTGAATTATATACTTCACTTCACTGACCTTCAAAGAATTCTCTACTGGTCAGTGGTCTTTGATGTTCCTCAAACAGTTAACATTGGCCAGTGTAATGAACAAGTGACATAACTTTTGCTTCATATATATGATAACAATAAAGCTTTGAAAATTCTATGTGTATGGATGGACAAGTTAGTGACAACATCCTTCTATCCTGACTATAATATGGATATCGTCATTATATGGATAATAAAGAAGATTGTCAAGCTATCTCTGTGACATCCCAGTTTAAGTGTGAACAATGACATCACAACTTAGTTGAGCTAAGAAAACCTTTGTTACAGTTATGGAAATATCACTGCAAGTGGAATTTATATCAGCTACTGTATTTTATTCACTATGAAAACCAGTTCTCATTATTTTAATCGATACTAGAATTTAACATCATTAAACATCTATTTTGAATTGAAAACCTTCAGAAACTGAACAGTCCAACTGTACAATATATTATATAATATATACTTGTGATATAAATTTTTAAAATATTTTATTTCATGCAAACAGCATGAAATTTTTACTATTTCAGGTGCAGCTGTGTACAGTCGGCTTGATTATTATCCTGCCTATCCTTATAATTTAAATACAAATGGAATTGAAATAACAATATTAAGGTTCATTATGTTCCCACAGATTACCATTGGGCTATTACATTTAAAAACTGAAACCCCCCCTGTCGAGGACCTCTGCTTTTGGGGATTTTTACCCTGGAATGCAAAAAAATCTGTGTAATTGACCCCTCTGGAAGAGACTTTAACCCCCTCTGGAAAGAGCATTTTTCTTCCATTTTTCCCAATTACCCTCTGGAAAAAATTACTAATTTCCCCCTTGGAAAATGAGGTCCTCCACAGGGGGGGGGGGGTACGGATATTAAATGTAATAGCCCATTGTATAGCACAGAGTGGCCTGTGTGGCAGGCGGTTTTTAGGGTTTTTTTTCTTTGGCTCCCTAATTTTTGCGGCCTGTAGCAATACCGCCTGCCACGCAGGCTAGGCACAGAGGCAGTGCTTTCATTTTCAAAAAACATAATTTCCTTCCAACCGTTCAAAGTTTATATAGTAATCTATCTTGAATAACGGGGTATTTCTTGTTGTAGAAGAAACATAGACGTTGCAGTGGCTGAATTTTTGAGAAATGGACAAATTCTGCATCTTGCAGGACAGGATTTTCAGCATATTTTGTAAGTTTGAAAGCCCATTTCCTTGGAAATTGCCATATTCTTTCGTATTCTTAGGATTTTTTTAGAAATAATCAAATAAGGCAATTTTCTTCACATTTCCTTTAATCTTCCAAAATTTTCTTGATAATTTCCTTCAACTAGAAAACTGGTTAAAATTTTCTTCAAAATGGAAGCACTGGACTTAGGACACAGCAGTAAGGCCCACTGAGAACCACTCAGGCCTTGCAAAGGCCAGTCACTGATCTGAGGCCAGTTCACTGGAGTAGGCGGATGAGGTGAGACACTGGGGACGAGTTCGTATTCGGACGCAGTCGGTTTGTCATCGGTTTGTTCTACTTTCCATGCGGTATTGTGGTCTGCTCACTCTGCTCTTTCTTTTCACCCTGGAACTCCTCTAAGTCAAACGTCAAATTGCAGTATGTCGAAAGACGAACAAAAAGGTAAGTTCATTGCGAAATTCGTTGTCTATTTAACGCTGTTTTTATTCAATAAAGCATACTTTTTACTATACCTATTTGTTTTAAGTTTTTTATCGTCAAACCGCAAATTTTCATGTACCGAACTATTTTAATAATATGCATATGACTAGAAATAGTTCATTAACTGCCCTGGCTGATTTAATATGACGATTTAATATGTTGTGCTGTTATTGAAAATTATCATGCCCGCTTATGGTATACAAATACTAGTACGAGAAAATGTTATGACTCCATTCTTTCAAAACGCTTCAAATTGGGTGAACTTTAACAAACAGTATAAAGGTCCAGACACACCGGACGCGATTCGACAACGCGACGCAATTTTTTAGTTTTTGAAAGTTCATAAAACAGCCAATGAGAGCCAATGTTGAAAGATATATAGACCAAATAACTCAAATGTGAACTGAGTCTTTTGCTTCCTGTTTTGTCTTTTGATTTGTTTTGACAAATCACACTTCATATTTGATAGACGGAGTTTTTAATCTTGCGCTACTGTTTAAAGATTTTCGTTATTTGATGAATTGACTCCTTCACCAACAATAAATTATAGTAACAATGTACCTCACAAGTCTATTAGACAGGTATTAAAAAACAGACATACCATACAAAATACAATGCCCTTTGACAAGGTGTTGACCCAAGCGAATATTTTTACAGCATCGCAACCTTTGAACCCTTGCCTTCTAAACTTGTCTAGCTGCGGCACTATGCCAATAATTCACTTGCCTTTTATATAAAATTTGAACACTCAGCTTTTAAACTTTCTCTGCGACCAAAACGCTGCGGGACAATAAGCTTAATACTCGTACTTTATTTTCCACATGAAAGGCTCAACATATGAAATGGGTGTAAAATGGATTATCATTGCAGCATTTTTTATCTGCATTTCAGATTCATCTTTAGTGGGATATATTCACAAGTTAAGTCCCATAAAAACATCATCAAAAAATACAAACACCAAGTACTTTGACTGCAAGATACAAGTCGCGAATGAAAAAGCTGTGAGAGTGGTATGTTATTCACCAGAGAAAAGAGTGACAATTCAACAAGCTTGGCAAAACAACTCGCCTGTGAAAATCGTAGGAACAAAGAGAAACAGAACAACCACATTCAATGCCAATAGTGAAGAATACACAATAACCAAACCAGCTAAGATTACTCGTGCCGTTGTGGATTTCGAAATGAACGAATCTGTGGCGCATCATCTAGTTACTGTCAAAGATTCCTTGTGTGCAAATATCTTTGAAACAGTAGACCTCAAAGTCAAAACAAGAAAGAAAGCAACCCATAATCATCAATAGGCAAACCAAGTACCAGGCTGATTGCATAGTTGCAGATGTGACTGGTTCAGTTAAGTTGGGTATTATGGGAAGAAATGATTGATAAAATACATTCCGGTAAAAGTTACCACATCCAGGGCTTAACAGTCCGTATCTTTGATGATATCAAATTTCTCAATACCAATGAGGCCACAGTTGTATCAGAAATTGACGACCTGGGCGATGTCAATTTAATGTCTCAGGAAATACAAGATAACATCATCACTGCTCATTGCATCGGAGTGAACATTAAGAAAAGTACCTCCTGTATTGCCTGTAACAACTCTTTGGAAAACATCACACCTGAAGAAGAAACTATAACATGTCCAAACTGCAAGTTGACAACTTTCATCACCATTTCTAAAACAAAACTGGTGTGCCAAATCCTCTTAAAAATTGATGATAAAATGACAAGTTACACAACCTTCAATGATGAAATTTCCAGTTTTCTAAGAATCATTGGAAATGAAACACCTGTGAGTGAAATACCAGTAATGGAACTCAAAAAGTTACTTTTAAAAGCTGGTCCCAAAAAGATGATCATAGATAGATCCCAGAAACTGATCTTTCAATATTTATGACATTTTTCTCATATGATAACATTTATGGGATGATTTATCACATTTGTCTGACATTTTGGTTTGTTAGGTTTGTTTGCTTGACTTAACTGCATTTGAGACATTTACAACAAATGACAATTTATTTGTAGTTGACTTTCTGTTATAATTATGTTGTAAGGGGATTTGGATTTTTTCTGTTATGCTTGCACCTTTTAACAATAGAATTTCTTTAATTACAGTTGTATCATTGTTTTTAATTAAATAGAATTAAAGCCTGTGTAGTATCTGAGAGCTGTTCTGGTTACTCTTGAAAATTTGTGGAAATGGATCTTTTCGACCAAGTTTATTTCCTCTTGTTATATGTTGGGCAATATTTTTCTTGCATTAAAAAACTGACAACAAAATGAAAATGAAAATCCTTATGCACTTTTTGAGTACCTATTTTTATTTCCTCTCTGCATACATATCTGTTACAATCATAATCACATAAAATTAGTTTCTTTTTCCTCTGTGGTGGGGGGTGGGGGTGGCAGTTGCCCTGGTCGTTTGACTTTATCATCTCATCTATTATATTTGTAATAAGTGATGAAATATTTCAATCGTCCCATGTCATTTTCATTGTATTCAGTTCTTTTCAAGAAAATACAAAATGTGAATCCATTCGCAGATACATGTACACGTCGCATACCTATTTTTTTAGAGAGTTACATTATTTGCTATTAAATTCTACTACAACGAAAAATGTGAAAATTTGAATTCAATCGCGACAAATATAACTTGCGTCATCAGAATGCTTGTAAAAAACTACATAAAAGACTTTTAAACAGTTTTTTATTCTTCAAGTGGTTATTTCTGTAAATTAGGCACATTATCTCGCTAAAAGTCCCTAATTAATTAATTATTCGATGTTTGAAAATACGTTTTTAACAGTTTATAATTCGAAAACTATTTCAGAAATAAAAAACTGTCTAAACGTCTTTTATGCAGTTTTTTATAAGCTTTCTGATAATGCAAGTCATATTTGTTGTAATTGAATACAAAATTTCACATTTTTTGGCTATAATAGAAGAAAATCACTAATCCCCGTTTTCAGGAGTTAGCAGCAAAATAGTGATGGCACCACTTCAAATATCTATTAAGCAAATAAAACTACATCAATTGTAAAAGTTTGATGCTTTTAACCCCAACGGGAACTACTGATCAATAATTTTACACATATCCACCTCACTAGTTCTTTGTACTTTCTGGAGGATATGGGCAAAATGCTGCAGCATTTCATCTGGCAACAGCATTTACTGTTTCCAGAATGATAAGAAATGCGCTCAATCCGAAGGATGTTTGGAGTAAGTGAACTAATATCATAAAAAATCAATGTAAAACTTATAACAATATAGGTATAGTTAGGGAGAGGGCACTTGTTCCTATCACAGGGGGTCCAACTAAGGGGGGGGCTGTTTACATGAGCCCTACAGGGAGGGCTGGCCCTACTAGGCGAGATCCTGCATACTATTTGAAATCCTTATTAAAAATTGTTTACGTTTACATGAGAAGAGGGCCAGCCCTCCTAGGCGAGATCTCACCTAGTAGGGCTGGAATATTCT